TCATAGTTCCACCCTTGATATCGATTAGCTACTGGAATGGGCCTGCTTATAGAAATGGAGAGAGAGAGAGAGAGGAGACGTCACGGTATGTGATTGTATACCTATTTGTGTTCTCCTCACGTGGTGATTGGCGACGTGAAAGAGAATGCCAATCACAAAAAAGTGTACCTCCGTGAAAGATTTCGCTATCTATTTACTTTTTGAAGTAGAGGACGACTTCTACTATCATAAAACGATTACAAAATTACAAATCATAACGTTGTTTTATTTGTCCAATAATAGCTAGAAAAAACAACCTAGTGGAGATATTTTACAAATCATGAACCACAATTGTTACAAATAAAAATAAAAATAACCGAAATTCAATTTACATACAGATGTGTGGTTACTAAATTAAAGACACTATGGGACCATTTAATTTATATACAGATGTGTGGTCTAATTTTAAGTCATGTGCTCATGATACTGCAGGGAGATTGAGTTCAAACACAAGGAAAACAGGGAAGATCTTAATCAATGGGCAAAAACAAGCACTGGCATATGGAACTTCGGTAGGAAGATCAAGAACTATATATCATAATACCTTTCTCTTTTGGCTTAACGAAGATATAAATACGAGTAATTTATAAAGCTTTCAATATCTCTTTTCATAATTTAAATATCATCAACACAGGCATATGTGACACAAGATGATACTTTGATCACAACTTTAACGGTCAGCGAAGCCGTATACTACTCGGCTCAGTTGCAATTGCCGGACTCCATGTCCAAGGCAGAGAAGAAAGAGAGAGCAGAAATCACAATAAGAGAGATGGGTTTGCAAGATGCCATGAACACGAGGATTGGAGGGTGGGGATCTAAAGGCCTCAGTGGTGGGCAAAAGAGGAGAGTCAGCATTTGCATTGAGCTTCTTACACGCCCAAATCTTCTCTTCCTCGACGAACCAACTAGTGGCCTTGACAGTGCAGCTTCTTATTATGTCATGAGCAGAATTGCAAACCTGGATAAAACTGATGGAATTCCAAGGACTGTAATTACATCCATCCATCAACCTAGCTCTGAAGTCTTCCAACTTTTCGACAATCTTTGCCTTCTGTCGACCGGAAGAACTGTCTATTTTGGCCCTGCTTCTGCAGCAAATCAAGTGACTAGCTTAAGTTCCCTAGCTTACTATTTCTAAATTTGGATCCGTAGCTGTAGGGTTAACTGCTGTTATTTTCAATTGATTGCAGTTTTTCTCCTTATGTGGTTTCCCTTGCCCAACTCTCCAAAATCCATCAGATCACTTCCTTAAGACTATAAACAAAGATTTTGAGCAGGTAAGCCTTTTTGTTTTTTTGTGGTAAAGTCCTAGTCGTATTTGATTGCAACTTTTCTCTTTATGTGGTAATGAAGAGTGCTCAAGCAAGCACTCATTATAATGACTCGTTTGAGCCCATCCAAAATGTAATCTCATGATCCAAACTGTTCATTTTTTAGGACATTGAACAAGGCATGGTTGGACGCACACCCACAGAAGTAGCGATTGATACTCTAATAAAGTCCTATAAAGAATCTGAAAGTTATCAGCAAGTTCAAGGACAAGTAGCTGAACTATGTAAGCAGGTATAGGCTAGTAATCAGATTCATATATAACTCCAATTATTTATATACCATGCAACACTATCCTTTCAAATGGTAGTTGATTCCCAGGATCATGGGAGGGGCCAAAATCTATGACTAACATAAATTTATATGAAATTTAGGATTTCGGTGAAGAATTGGAGAAGAGAAGCCATGCTGGCTTTCTTACACAATCTTTCGTACTTACAAGAAGATCCTTCATGAACATGTATCGAGATCGAGGCTACTACTGGTTGCGCCTGGCTATCTACATTACCATTGCATTAGGCTTGGGCACTGTCTATCAAGATCTTGGACATAGTTATGAATCAATTCAGGTGATTTGTTTTGTACATAAGATGCTTATGTTGCAACAATTTAGTCTGGACGAAACATTTATGCAACAATCAACCTGATCATTTCTCCATCTAATTCACAACATGTTATATATCATTACACTCTCAATTTTAGCCATTGATCATTAGGAGTTCTGTGTACGTATTACGTAATATGTGGTTCAGATTGACAGTTTTCTAAACCTAACTTGCTTGACAAGAGAACACTACATAGGAAATTGTTCGAGAGCTGTCTTATAGTGTTGGATATATTGATATAAAACTTAATAGATTTCTATTTTTCCAGGCAAGAAGCTCGCTGATCATGTTTGTATCTTCATTTCTAACTTTTATGGCTATCGGTGGATTCCCCTCTTTTGTGGAAGATATGAAGGTAAACTAATTTGGAATAGGGTTGGATATATATGCTAAGTTTTGCACTTCTATATAGTTTACATCATAAGTGCCATATATATTAATGTTGCTAAACATAGGTTTTCTCTTGTAAACTCAGGTATTTGAACGAGAAAGATTAAACGGGCACTATGGTGCTTCTGCATTCGTTTTTGCCAACACATTTTCCTCTGTGCCTTTCTTGATATTGATTTCAGTGATTCCTGCCGCCATAACTTATTACGTCGCTGGACTTCACAAAGGATTTGAACACTTCTTCTACTTTGCTTGTGTGTTATTTGCTTGCATGATGCTGGTTGAGAGCCTGATGATGATAGTTGCTAGCATTGTGCCCAACTTCCTCATGGGAATAATCGCCGGCGCTGGAATTCAAGGGCTTATGATTATGTGTGGCGGTTTCTTCCAACTACCAAACGATATTCCCAAGCCTCTGTGGAAGTTCCCATTGTACTACATTGCGTTCCACAAGTATGCATACCAAGGACTGTTTAAAAATGAATTCATAGGCACAACATTTCCTAGCAGTGATCAAGGAGGAAAAACATCCAGTCTCAGTGGGGAACGTATTCTGAGAGATAAATGGCAAGTCGAAATGGGTTACTCTAAGTGGGTTGATCTTGCAATCTTGGTAGGGATGATTCTTCTGTATCGAGTTTTGTTCTTGGTTATTATCAAGGCCACAGAGAAAGTGAAGACTATCGGTACAACTCTTTTGGCAATGCCTCTCAATAAGCGAAGCATGCAAATATTGGTCAATCCGTCCTCTACGCCTGTGCATGGAGGGAATCTGTAGTGGTAGTAGCATAATACAAATGGTATTGTTGGTATTATAAATTAAGCATGAAGATAGGTATTTCTAGCAGTATTGGAATGGAATAGGAAGTATGTGTGCAATAAAGTTGAAGTTGTACTATATATCCAGTATCTAGTGAGTATTTTTATTTTCTATTATGAGAATAATATAATTAATTAATGTTGATCAGAAAGGATATTTGGATGCATTGCATGTCCCAAGTTACATGAAATCAGAGAATTTTGGAAGTGTGGGGAATGAATCTCTCCGACGGCGAGCCTTTGTTCCCGGAAACTAAAGAGAAAGAAGAGAGAGAAACAAGGAGGAGAGACATAAAGGGTTGAGAGGTTTTGATTGATTGTAAAAACAAAAAAATTCAAATCCATTAAAGGCATATTTGTCATTCTTGACGTGGAGAGTCCACGAGGCATCTCCTGAGTTGACGTGCGAATTTGTGATTCCACAAGCAGTTGTTTGAGTATTCTGCATGGGGAATATTTGTGGGTTAATTCCTCGGTCTTCAATCTTTCTTCTCTTGACTTCAAGGGTGTTGGTCAAAGGCCCTCCGATGCCTAAGTTAGTTCAATTGAATCTTGATAAAGATACGAAAATAGCTAAAATGGATGGGATTTTCCTAGGGGGTGTTGCCCTAGTGGCCTTAGCCATGAGAGAGAGAGTGTGTGTGTGTGTGTGTGTGTGTGATTTCTCTAGGGTTTTTGGAATTAGGGAGGAATTTAGAATTACCTTGAAAGTCTTTTGTAGCCATGTATTTAAAGTCTCCTTGTGTGCTAGGGATTTTTGGAGAATAATCCTTATTTGGTTTGGAATATTATTCTTTCCCCAAAAAGATGACAGGAATTACTCCAAGAGATTTGGTAGAAATTGGCTTCTTAATTTAGGGAGATATTTGTTTACACCCTAATCAACCGAGCATACCCAATATCAAAACAACTTGCCCTAAGGTCGAAGGAAGACACTCTTCTGAAGCGGCAACCACATGCCGAAGCTATCGGCTGCCGAACCTAATTTTCATGGACACGTGTCACCTCTGCAGCCGTTTGCACAATGTCCCACATCGAAACTTTGTGCAAAACTCCCGTTGTCACTTCCCTATAAATAGGGAACAGTGCCCAAGTAAAAGAAGTAACTATTTTCCCACCTTTACTGTTACTTTGCCAAAATTACCACTTATAACTGACTTAAGCATCGAAGAGCCTTTGACAGGCACCACACCAGTGTCCGAAGCTTGACGACCGCTTCTTTCCCATTGTCTTTTGCAAGTTCTCCAAACATTGAAGGTTCACATATTCTCCCATGCTAAAGATCCAATACTCCTCTATCTAAGTTGACCTTCCCAAAAAGAGCATCAACAATATTCCTATCTTAAATTGAAGATAATTACCCTAATTCCACGTGTCACCTTCTTATTGGCCGGCGAAATATGTGTTCTCACAAATGCACCCTATCTTCTACATGGTGCTTGTGAGGCATTGAGGAGATGAGAAATATTTATCGGGCTCTCCAACTGCATTTGGGCTTTCTTCTTTGAGTTGGGCTCCCAATGAGAATAGGCTTGTGATTCATCCTTGACCTAGGATCCCCAACCTTTATAAATACAAAGCTTCTGTTCACTCTTTTTCAAATTGAAAACTTGTTATCCTCTACTTTCTAGCCTATGAGAGAGAGATCTTGGAGGATTGTACTGCTTGTCAAGGAGATGAGTTATTGTGCATACCAAGGTAGGTTGAACTTTTTTTATTTTTTCCTTTCATTTTTTCTTCGCAGCGAGGACCAGCTGGGTAGGCATGGTTGGTTGTCGTTGTGACTGACACTACTACCAACGGTGGTCGTTGGATATGGATACACTTTTTTGCTCACGGCGAGGACTAGCTTGGTGGGTCGGCAGGTAGTTGGTGTAGCGCGGAGGCTGGAGTGACTGGATGGTGGCAGCGTAGCTGTGGCTACGATTGCTTCTTCTTCTTCTTCTTCTTCTTCTTTTTCTTTTCTTTTTCTACCTAGCGCGTCCCGAGCCTGCTTGCTGGACCTTAGCTTTTGCTGCAGTTTGGCAGCTAGGTCGTATTCTGAGCCTAACCGTGAGCTTTGGTGGCCGTCACCGGGTGGTGGCTATTACCGTGGTGGTTGCCAGTTGTTGCTAGCGGAGGTTGCGGCTATCTTTTTTATTTTATTTTATTTTTTTTGCAGGAGCTATGGTGCACCATGACCTATTGGACAAGTTGCCGCTCGGCTCGGGACAAGGGCTGCAAATTGGTTCAACACAGCTTCTTACAAATTTGATTTGTTTCCTTTGCAAATCAGCGTGCAAACATTTTCACAAAACCTTTATCTACTGCCAAACATGTTTTTCTTCACGACAAGCTTACAGTGTGCTCTCCCCCTTTCAGCTTGAGGGAGGCTAAAGGCAATAACTAGTTATTACTTTGTTAAATTAGTTATATTTTATGTTTACTAATATATTCTCAGTTGTAATTAGTTATGACAACTCAGCATAGATGGTATGTATATGTATAAAAAGTCCTTTGTAACAGTTTATTCTTTAATAAGAATTACACTTCCTTTAAAGACGACTTTTTGGGTTGCATGATTGGTCTGTTTTCCATTATTAATTTCTTGGCCAAAAGTCATTTTTTGTTCTTGTAGTTTGGCACTTTAACCACTTTTGACCATTTAGTTTCAATTTCATCAATTTTGTCATCGTAGTTTCGTATTTGTAACAATTCAAGGACATGTTAATATTCTTGTCAATTTTTTTAACGATGCAAAGGGCAATTTCGTCAACCCAAAACCCTTGAGCGTAAAAGCTTGTTTGAAATTCTCCCCATTTCATATTTGGACTTGAAATTCAACCACTAATCCCAATTTTTAAGAACCCTAAACCCAAATGACCAATTTCAAGCCCTAATATGAAATTAGGGGAGTTTTAGACGAGCTTTTATGCTCAAGGATTTTGGATTGACGAAATTGCCCCTTGCATTGTCAAAGAAATTAACAGAAATACTCATTTGTCCTTGAATTGCTATAAATATGAAACTACATAATCAAAAGTGATTGAAGTGCCAAACTACAAGGACAAAAAGTGACTTTTAGCCTAATTTCTTTTGTCTTCGTTTGATTTTTTTTTTTAAATGTGGGTTTGGCTTGTTTTGAGTGTTTTGTGTTTTTTAATGAAACTTGGGTTGGGCTTCAGTTTGGATTTGTGTCTTTAAAAGGTGGTGGGAAAGGAGTGCTTCTATAGTGAGTGGAAAGTTATAAGGGGTTTTTTTGAGGGGTATGTAAGAGCCGTTGGGATTTCATCCAACGGTGAGTTTTTAAAAGAGGGTGCATGTAGAACCGGGTTGAAATCTGACCCGTTTGGAGACCCAACTTCAGCTGAAGATTTTTCCCTCTCTGTGAAAAACTCAAGAACACAATCCTCTCTTTTTTAATGTAATGCAAATCCACAATTAGAAAGATCCAAAGCTCCCAAACTCTATAATCGCTCCATTGTCATCAGCTCCTTGGGAGGCCTGCGATCTATGGTATCCTCGGTATGATGATTAATGGCTTTTACCTAGCTATTGCCCTGTTTTGATTCTATGATTGAAGTGAAAACCCCTTCTCTTTTTCGTTCAGCAGAAGAGATTCCAGATGAAAGCAAAGTAGCATATCTCTTTTTCGTGCTGCTGCAGTTGTTCCTGGATTTTGGTAGAGATGGAGTCTCCACTACGAAAGAATCCTCTCTAATGTCCACCACATTCTTTGAAGCTGACTGAGTTCGGAGCTCCCGATTGACTTTGAGAGGTAAGTTCACTCTTGCTGGATTGATTTTGTTGGGTTTGATTTGTTTTTTGTGAGGGTGAGAAATTTGTCATTTGTGGCATCAATAATGCGTCATTTGCTCTGCTATCAATAATGCGTCATTTGACTTTGAGAGGTAAGTTCACTCTTGCTGGATTGATTTTGCTGGGTTTGATTTGTTTTTTTGAGGGTGAGAAATTTGTCATTTGTGGCATCAATAATGCGTCATTTGCTCTGCTATCAATAATGCGTCATTTCCTTATGAATATTCAATATACTTAGTTGATTATTTTTGTTTGGAGGGGGATTGGAAAATTATGAAATGTAGGTAAAAGATCCTAAACTTAGGCTTAATGGCATTAGAAGTAAGCATTTGGAGAGGATATTGGGTGAAGTTCTGTAATTGCTGGTTTGAATTACATTTGAGTTCTTAGTTGAACATGTTGGTTCTAATGTTATTTTTTCCAGATTATTTCACAAGAGATGACGTAACTATTATTAAATTTTGCTTGTGTTTTGTGTAATCAGAATCCAACAAGCTAGGCTATGCGTGTATTGTGTCAATTTGGGCAATGTTTTGTGTAAGTGGAATGCATTGATAAGTTGTGATGCAGTAATGATTGATTAATGAATTAACATTTGCTATGCAGTAATATAGAAGTAGATCAATAATATACGTGGATAAAATGTCTGGGGGCTCAGAGAGTGATGACTCTGTAACAGCTAATGGGAGGGTTTACATTCCTGAAGTAAGAAATGAGGAAACACCAGCAGTTGGGATGAAGTTCGACTCGCTTGACCTCGTTTATAATTTCTATAATAGATATGCATTCTTGGCTGGCTTTGGTATTCGACTTCATTCCAGCTTTTGGGGGAAAAATAAGAAAGAGATTCTGAGAAAAGAATTTGTATGTTGCAAACAAGGTGCATACCGGAATGATGAAACTCGGGAGAGAAAAAGACAGCGGGGAATAAGTAGATGCAATTGCAAAGCTAAGATTGTGGTTGTGAAGACACATGGGAGCAAGAAGTATACCATCTCTCTTTTTGCAGAGGGACACAATCATAAGATGACACCCTCAGGAAGAATGCATTTACTGAGATCACACCGTCGTATTTCAGATTCTACAAAAGTACTTACAAAACAGTTGGGTTCGGTTAATATTCCCATTAATCAGAAGGTAAGTATTTTCGAGGTGCAATCCGGAGGAATGGATAAAATCGGTTTTATCAAAAAGGATATGTACAATCTTGAATGTAGTGTGAATGAGAAGCTGAGGAACCACGATGTTGAACTAGTGACCGAGTATTTTATGGCTGAACAGAAAAAAAATGAGGCTTTTTATTTCAAGATTGAGGGAGATGGCGATAACAGGTTTAGTCGATGTTTTTGGGCAGATGCAACTTCTAGACGGGCGTACGGGTTTTATGGAGATGTTGTTGTATTCGATACCACATTCAACACGAATAGATACGACTTGACATTTGCACCAATGTTGGGAGTTAATAACCATGGTCAAACAATTGTCCTAGCATGCGCATTTTTGAGCAAGGAAACGACTGAGTCGTTTATTTGGATGTTTGAGGAGTTTAAGAAAGCCATGCCAGGTGGCGAACCTAAAACGATCATCACAGATCAAGATGCGGCAATGAGCAGAGCGATTTCAATAGCCTTCCCGACTACATTTCATCGACTTTGCATATGGCACATCACATCAAAGTTCTCTGTTAAGTTACCACATTCTGCTTATAAGGAGTATTGGGGTGAATTCCAGAAAGCCATATGGGATACTGACAATAAGGATGAGTTTGATGCAAAATGGAATATTGTGGTTACAAAGGCTGGTTTGACTGACCATCCATGGCTAAGTTCAATGTTTGATTTAAGGGAATCTTGGGTTCCAGCCTACGCACGACACTTTTTTGCCGCTGGAATGTCAAGCAGCCAAAGAGCTGAATGTTCTCATGGTTTCTTCAAGCAATACATATCAAGGAAAAATTCGTTGATGGATTTCATAATAAGATTTGAGAGGGCACTTTCTCATCAACGTCAAAAAGAGTTAGTTGCTGATCACGTAGATGCATTTGAAGTGGCTCAATGTATTCTACCGATGCCAATGAACAAACAAATGGCTACCTTGTACACAAGGACAATGTTTCAAAAGTTTGAGCAAGAACTAATACAAAGTACAGCATGTTTCCTAGAGCTGAAAACAGAGGATGCTTCTAAAGTTGTCTTTAATGTGAGCGAAAGGAAAAATTGGGAAACAAGAGTGGCAGAAGTCGTATATGTCAAAGATTCTGACCACGCATCGTGTAGCTGCAAAAGATTTGAATTTGTTGGAATTATTTGCAAGCACATCCTAGCATTGTTCAGAAGGGACCAGATTGAATATATGCCCGATAAATACATTTTGAAGAGGTGGAAGAAAACTGCGAAATTTGGATTGGTGTCAGATGCAAATGGCAACGAAATTAAAGACTCTGCAGATCCTGGTCTTTTAATAAAGCGGAGTACAATGTCCCGACTTGCTTCAGATGTGGTTGAGGATGCATTAATGTGTGAAGAAGGATGTGAGGTACTGTCAGAGACTCTAAAAAGTTTGCAGGTGAAGTTGAAGTTGTTGAAGGATGGACCAAGTAATAACGAAGTTGGAGGGTCCAGCTCTCAAACACAATATATGAAAGACCCTAAGAGAGTAAGGTGCAATGGAGGGTCGAAACGAGTAACGGGAGCAAAGGAAAAGGCAATGAAGCGAGGGATTAGACACTGTCGGGAGTGTGGACACATTGGTCATGATAGAAGACAATGCCCAAGAAATTTGAACACACCGTAAGATGTTAACACTATTTATAATAAGACCTAAAATTTGAATAGGTAAAGTTCTTATGTGCTTCTGTTTGATGTTTATGCAGGACATCACCGTCGAACAATGACGAATCAACTCCAATAGATCTTAGTGACCCATTATTTGACGAATTTTACAGGATGCACGGACCAACTCAATGATTTAGGTTTCTATTATACGAAGCCCGGTTATTATGAAGACTAATGATCAGGTGAAGTTTTGTAGATGCAGTTTTATTATTATTAATTTGTTGTTCATGTCCACCGATGAGCTCTGACTATGTCCATTGATAATTGAAATGAAAATTTGCTTGGTTTCATTCTTGCATGAAATTTGGACACATGTTAATTTTACGTCTTCTCCCTATTTAGAAATTTTCATGGACATTAGATAAAGCATCAAATTTTGATTTATGTGAACAAGCAATGACTTTTACCTTGTAAAATGGGTAGTTTATGGTGAATTATGTTTGAATAGAGATTTATTGATTATATGACAGGCTAATGCAGCATTTCCAGCAGCCAGCTATTGTTTCCATTACCAGTAATGATTTCCAGCAGCACGCATCATTTGTAGCAGCACCCACTTTTTGCGAATGTTATGTTCTAGTGTTTTACTGGTGATTAAGATCTGAGCTGGACTGGTTATTAGGTGCACGATTTTGCAAACATTCGTAGCTGAAGGATACTTGAAGCACTTTGTTGGAACAGAAATATTAGAAAGCAACGTGTAAAAAAGTACATTGCAGCTAATCACATTTCGAATGGTTGGGTAATATTAAAGGGT